TAGTAGTTTTATAAAAGGAAAGAATCAATTCTTTAAAATATGTTTACCCAATATCCCCCACACCACAATTGGTGATCCATGTAATTTATGGGAGTACTGAATCCGTTTCTCCACATAGAACTCCGTGACGGCGGCATAATGAGTCGACCATGGGCGTCAGTCATTAAGGGGAGATAACAAGCTATGGTCAAAAAGACAAACGTACCGGAAGTCTCCATCTTTGAATCTGCTACAGTTCTAAAATTGAATTCCCTTTTTATACTTTTTTGAATTCTTTTCCTTATAGGATGTGGTTTGTCAAAAGAATTTTTTATGCAATAATTAGGGTAACGGAGGTATCTTAAGGTACACAGAAGATTATCAATTATATTTCAAAGTAAACTGATAAACAGATAAACTCTGACATACTGAATCATTGTTTTGATTCAAAAGATAATCTAAAGAGAGGATGATAGTCAGTGAACAATCGTTTTGGAATAACATAAAATTATCAAGGAACTATTTTAATAATATTCATTATTTTATTTTATTTTTTTTTAATTTTTTCCGCTAATTTTCAACTCATTTAATTCTACTTCAATACAATATTAAATTCTTTTTCTGAAGACATCTTTGCTCAGTAACAGAAGTATTCAGGAACGCAATGCATTTCACTCACCCCTTTTTAAATTTTAATTGATGGAAATACACACTTATTCTTGGACAGGTTTAAGTAAACAAATGAAAACAAAAAGACAAACTTGAAACCCTTGAGTTATAACACTCCCCTGTTCTCAAACAAAAACATGCGATGAAAATGTCGTTCCCCCATGAAACACAGGGTCATCATTTACTTGCAGCTTATCTACCAAAGAAGTCTTCTTAAATCTGTCCTTGAAGGATTTCTATCATAACTCAAAAATTGACATACAAAAGCTGATTTCTTTGCCTACTTTAAAAAATCACATGTAGCCTTTACTTTGCCAATTTTATGATAAAGATAATAGTATACAGTTAAAGCGAATCCTTGAGGGAGTTAACAAGATTCCAGTTCCCTTAGGCCAGGATTTTTCCCGAGACAAAGCCGAGGGAAATAGTCCTGGTTGAGGGGAAGTGGAATGAAATATTATACATATATCACATGGCTTCGAGGGTGACATACCAGAATGTTTGCCCCTCGGTGACAGGAAAGTCCTGGAGTGTTATGTCACCCGATGCCGAAGGCAGAGGGTGACATAACACTCCAGGACTTTCCTGTCACCGAGGGGCAAACATTCTGGTAAAGTCACCCGAGAAGTCATGTGGTATATGTTATATAACATTTTTGAATTTAAAAAACGTCTAGAATTGTTTAAGTTTACGCAAATAATCCAAAAATGCTTTCATGACGTTAAGAATTGCGCTCCGTTGTTTACGTTTGCTTAGCAACCGACGTCATTAAATCTCGAACCCAAGCTACAAATGCGTAACATAAAGACAAGTGAAAGTGATCGAGAGGGTGTTATAACTGTTTCCGTCGGGTGATATAACTGTTTCCGGCGTGTGACATAACTGTTTCCGGTGTGATTCAGCATTCTTCAGGGTTTATAGTGAAACTTATTACATTTGTGATATAATAGGAAAAATTACTCAAAAATGTTATATTTATTTACATTTGCAAATGTTTTCTTTTATATAACACTATTGAAAGCAATGCGTATCTATATCCGTATAAACACGGGTTCCTCGCGTCATAAACGTTCGACGTAATTTCTCAGTGACGTCATAAAGGGTCGAATCAGAGGATCAAACACGTGCCGTTGGGTTTGAAAAATAAAACGTTTCACGCGTTAAAGATTATAATCAGGCAAGTATAAAATATGAATAAGTCACAAATGTAAATATAAGTAATAAGGTATCATTTTTAAACATCTATCGGGCTATAAATACGGGTTGGTACGAGATCAAATTTACCATAAAGCCCTTCGGGCTTTATGGAATTTGATCTCGTGACCAACCCGTATTTATATCCCGATAGATGTTTAAAAATGATACCTTATTTCTATGGAGATAACGAACACTATTCAAGCTCAAAAGTCCATTAAAGATTACAACATAGGAGCAGAGCAAACACGGACCTCCAAAATATCAGAGGTGGGATCAGATGTCACGGCGGAGTGAGCATCCCCTACCGACCGGTCAAACCCGCCGTGTGCTCCTTGTCATGATCGGGAAATAACGGAAAAATCCGTCGACAATTCAGTGTGTAAATAATGGCCTAACAATTAGTATGAAAAACGTCAGTCAGCATTTGACTCAATGATAAATTGTATTTGCTGACAAGGTCATTGTATCGACCATAGAACTTACGAAATGATGACTTTAAACGAGGCTGCTGATATTCTTGTTTCATCAACTTGTTTATCAATAATTTACCTCGTTTTAGAAATTGTACATACGTAGAGCATGCTCTTGCGTATCGAATCAACTGAGAGATATAAACTCCGTATGCAGGTGTTGAAGGTATATTGCTGCGTAAGTAAGGGAAGTTGACGATTGAAAAGTTAAAGTCATCACGTTTATCATAAAGCTTGGTTGTTAGATTACCATTAACGTCTTTTTCAAGTAGAATATCCAAATATGAAACCGATGTGTCAGACTCTGTGGTATCTGTTATCTCAAGCTCACCGGGATATATCGTATCGACATAAGAATGGAAATAACCATTGGTAATTGACAATACGTCGTCGATATACCGGTATCTAAATGTCGAGTTGAAGGCCACAGCAAGTGTTTTCTTCTTTTCACGTATAAGATTTTGGACAAATTCTGCTTCATATGAATACAAAAAAGGTCTGCTAATAACGGGCGCAATTGGTACCCATGGGAATTCCAATAGATTGTTGGAAGACCTGGTCTCTAAAAACCACATAGATATTGTCCATCAGAAACTCAAGCATCTTTTTAATGTCAACTTCAGAGTACTTGTGTGAACAATCAGAATGTTTTTTAACAAAATAATTTTGCAAATGACCAATGACAAGGTAAGTAAATTTACGAGCTCCATTTTTATTGCAAAAGCAGCTGTCAATAATATCAAAAGGCCTGGACTTTAATTTATCGTGGGGAATGGTTGTGTATAAAGTTGAAAAGTCGTAAGTTTTTAAGCTGTTGATTTTGGTAAAATCTTGTGATTTCAAATTTTCCAAAAGTTCCTTGGAATTTTTAAGTATCCACATCTGATTTACACCACTTCTCGAATATAGTGCACAGTACTCTTGAAGTTTCTCCTTCACTACAGTTAATATCTTAGTAAGGAGTAAAGAAAGAGACTTGGTTGAACATTTACTTGCTTACTACACCAATGATATACTTTTTACTTGTTTCATTATACCTATACAAATTTCGAAGCAGATATTATCTCACTTGACTAACGCACGGCAAAACGTGTATTAGTCAATTCACAGCAATTTCTAGGGAATTATTCACATCTAACGATATAATTTTATATAGTTAAAAATCAGTAGAGGTATATAATAGAATGCTCTAATTCGATAAGTATAAGAAATATGTGATAAATCATACTAGTTTAAAATATGTGACTTCAATATTAAAAGCCTTGAGTGCTATATGTAAATCTGCATTATTTTTTATGTACTAATATTTTGTGGTCTTGCTGTTCTTGACAACATACATTTTCTCTATTTTTATTGAATTATTCTTACTTAACTTGCACTGACAGTGGTGCTATCCTTTACTGGTGCAAATTTAGAACCCTTTTACATGTTAATATATTTACTAGAACTTAACGGATCTTGACTAATGTATCTAGAGAATTTCAAAATGTTGCGCTGTTCCAAGACCATCACGAGACAGAAAAGGTCGTTAGATTTTCATCATATTAAAACCTTATACCTGCTACATTAAATTTGATGAGCTGATACATTCAAAGATTAAAGGAATAGATTGATATATAAGAGATGTGCAGATATTGTATGAGTTTGAAATTAAATAACCATACTACGTGTCCGCGGTTTTACCTGACAACCCTCTTATATAAATTTCTTCATCCCTTTTAGAGAGTTCTTTATTTAAGTTAGACCATTCTAAGTTTTTTTTTCTATGTTTAGCGTCAGCGTACGCCTTGGTTTTTGGCACCCCGTATAAGATACTATTAAACAAACAAAATCAGCATTCATGAAATTGATTATTCTGTTTGAAATCATTAAAATTCTATCAATTTCTCTAGATATTTATCTACAATATTCATTTTAGGTTTATTTTAAGCATTTAATACCTTAATTTTGTTGAAGAATAGATCTTTCACCGAGACAATAGATTAATGAAACTAATCCTTTCAATGACGTCGTTTTTTTTTTTTACTATTTATATGTCCGTGTTAGAGTTTGTGGCTTGTGTATGTGTGTGAGGGTGTGTGTGAGATGGTGTGTGGGTGTGTGTGTGCGAATAGATAGATAGGTTTTGGATCGAGAGATGGGTGGACGCTAAACAGGGAAAAAACTTGGAATGGCCATATTACAAATCTACACAATCTCAAGGTATAATCGCCAGTTTTCTGAAATTTTAATTCTGATTCCTAGATTAAGCGATAATTTAAGTTTTGTGTTCAAAACATTAACTATAACTTTTAAAACTATTTTCTGATATTTATTATGTTCCAAATTAAGATAAAATTTGGAAATGAAAGAAGACTTTTTCTTGATTTTTTTATAATAAATCTGTTCTTGATCTGGAAGCCCTTCAAGGGCCCGGGGATAACGTAGAGATCGATCTTTAGTGTATGCAACGAATTTCTACATATTTCATTTCATGAGAATAGAGTGATAAGTTGTGTCATATATATATTGAAAAAAATTATTCCATAATTCCATGCGATAAATTTTTAAATTTCGGAATGATAAAATATCAAATTTATCACTGGCTCCATGGCTAAGAGACTTCTCCAGTACTTTATATTCTCTGTGATGTTCCTTATCGTTACAGATTATTGGCAACAAAGATAAGTCACGGACTGTTTAGTTCTATCTCCTTAGGCCCGCTACATACTTCAGCCAGTATTACTCGGAAAAGACTTACAGAAACATGCTGCGTGTTTTGATCTTTCTCTCTGTTGCGTATGTTGCTAGATGCAGCATCTGTTGCGTGCCCCGCCAATGGGAGGGTACGGAAGGATCCACGATCGGACTTGTGCGGGAGGGAGCGCCGAATTCTAACTTCATTCAGGTCTGTATCTCCAGCATCCGTACAAATACAAACCAATAAAGATACAGTCTCGTTAGAGACTTCTGGTTGGTTTCTTTCCTGTGTTGAAAATATGCACTGGGATAATCCAACTGAAAGATCCAAGCAAAATCAAATCACAAGTCACACATATAATCGTTTTTGTCTATAATTAAAACGTAATTCTAAAATCCGTATGTAGCACACTCAATTTTATGCAATACTCAACAAGCATCAACTACCCTTCTATTGCTAAATTGTCTGTAAATGTGGAATTTTTCAGAGCTCGGTAAATATAGCTTATGATGCCATCAACCAGAGGGTAGCGGCCACTCAATATGTGGATGTTGACGGATACCCACTAATGGCAAAAATTATTATGGATTATAAAAACGTGAGTAACACCTCAAGTTCATTTTGGGTAGCGAAGAGCAAATGCTCTGTGTTGTCTTTGTATGGAATAACACTGTGTCTTTTTGATGAATCAGAGTTACGTGTACTGACGTCGACTATTAGCAATTCAGAATAATAAGAGAAAATGCTATCTTCACCAGGAAAACGTTTATATTCTGTTTTTGTTCCATATACATGTACTATACAGGGACCACAATCTCCTATAAACTGAATTTCTTTGGGTTTTCAGGCATGTAGTCCTCTTGTCTAATAATCGGTCTGTGTGCTGCATACTTCTTATAATCCTTTCTGTCTTTTGATACAATTTCACAAGAACTTTTCTGAAGGGACGATACTACCATACTGAGGCTACCATGTTCATCCAGTCATTAGTTTCTTTACAATGCATCTCTCTCAACTCTTAGGGTTTCGCCATTTTTAAAGTTATTCCATTTAATGTACATGGAAAGTTAATATGAAGGAAGTGAAATGAAAGGGTCTATAATGTGAATTTGAAATTTTGTCTCATTCTGGTAACATATTTTTATCCCATGTCCTTGGTAAAAAATAATGATTCGCGATAAGTTTTGATATTTGTCCCATTTTCTCTATGTACCAAAAACTTCTCAGTATTTAGAATTTAGATGTGTGATAAAATTTTAACAGTAAACACTATACTTTTTTATGTTTTTATAATTTAACATGACTACTTTGCGTTGATGATTCCACTTTGGATGCTTGTAAATAGTGACATGATTTGGATGCTGTTAGGTTTAGTATCATACTACATGTATTAGCATCCATTAACAAATACCATATCTTTACTCATTGAGCATAGATATATTATATTCCGTCTGGAGATATTTTCTACCTCCGTGCCTTGAATACAGATCGATATAACATGTATCCCAAACCAGTGTCATGTTGAAGCTTTTTAGGGCGTTCAATTTTCAATTAATTTGAAGTTTAACTCGACCAAATTTGCCCTTTTGGTAATCTCTCAAATAGGTGTATTGTCAAGTGGTTGTAAAGCAACTGGATCATTTCGTTCTTTTAAAGTTGAACAAGGTGTTTATCTGTCATTCCTGGTAGTGAATTCCATTTTGTGATAGTGTAGGTTTGTTTCAAAGGTACAATGTACAAAAATCATTGCCCATAATCTTTTATTTATGTTTACAGGGTGTACAATATTCAATTAACGGTACTACAAGTATGCGTTCAACAATTATTGCTTATAATCTTTTATTTATGTTAACAGGGTGTACAATATTCAATTAACGGTACGACATGCGTACGAACCACTCTTCCAGCGTTCCAAGAAAACTGCATCCCAGGTTAGTTGCGCATGATGACAAGCTTGATTGTAGAATAAATAGAGGATACAGTATTCAAGGTTTTGTGGTTGGATATGGAATTTGTTTCACGAGTGGGACAGGATTTTTTAAATATTTTCACGACTGCGAAGCACGAGTGAAATAACAAAAAATCCTGTCTCTCGAGTAAAATAAATTCATATCCAACTACAAAACATTGAATTTTCTGTTTATTACATTTTCTTTGATTTTTCTTTGCCTCTGTCTTTTCTTCTAACACAGTGTTCTTACCACAGAGGCTGTGACGTCTTAGTTGAGACGTCATAACTTTGCAATTGTGAGTTTGAAAACATTGTAACATGGATTTTAGCAACATATTTGGGAAGAAATAGACAGTTTTAGTATCTGTCAAGATGTTCTAGTTACTATTTTTATCTTATGAAAGGCTAGAAGTTATCTTTACTCACTTTGATATCCTTTCACACTGTGACAGAATATCCCTTTGGTATCCTTTCACACAGTGACACAATATCGCTTTTATTCAATAAACAAATCACAGTATTTCACTATTGAAAATGTAATAAAATGGAAAATGTAATATTTTAGACGTTATGACATGTACTGCTCTACTGTAATCTCTCCAATACATTTAGAGTAATCTCATAAGCAGGCAAACTCATTCAAAAGTCGTATGTAACTCACAAAAAATCAAAATTATTGCAGCTAGGTGTACATGTATTTCAATGTGAGCAATCTGTTCAGAATTCACAAAAAATATAACTTATGTCACATAGGTTATAAAAGTTTTATACTTTTGAAGAACACATGTAAGTTATATGTGTACTTTAAAAGTATAAAAAAAAAATCAGTATGATTTACAGACAAGAAAGGAACAATATGTCATATCTCATTGCATCCCAACCAATAAGACCCCGAAAACGGTACCACAATTCTCTGAATTTGTTTCTTTGCACTTTCATCATTGATACAGATGATGCTCAGGAAACTCAAACCACCATTGGTGCCGGTGGGAAGACATTGTCCCTCAAGAGTTACATAATGGTAGTGGGAAACCTCACCGTCACCTCCTCGGTGACTGAAGCCGGATGTATACCTGTTTCAGAGAGCATTGTGGGACACTCCCCGGGACGTAAGTTTTAGCACTTTCAAAACGTCAAATTCTTGATTAAATTTCAATAAAAAATTATTTAGCTGATGAAATTTAAAAGGTGGTTACCTACATGTATGCTATTAAATGTTAAATTTTGGGGGAAATAAAAGCGTTCTTACGCATACACAGGCTTTTTTTAGCGATAGGAATTACTTTGAAAATACTCACTTTTTTTCCAGAATCTTCCAAAAGGACAAATAAATTTCATAAAATGTTAACATTTTTTGCAGTACAACCATGTTGACTTATTAGTTTTTACTTTTTTGCAAAGAGAACAAATCCTTACTGGTGTTTTAATTCATCAACTAAGGATCTATCTACCAGTAGAACTGTAAATCACTTTTAATTCGCTAGAACTTTTATTTGCGCATAAATTCGCGACATCTACTCGCCAAACTTTCGTTCTCCTGTATTTTTGTATTCCAAACGATTTCAAACAAAACAAACTCAAAATTCGTAAAATCTTTGTCTCGATTATAAAAAGCAAATAACTATCTCACAAATAAAGGTGTCGCCTCACAAAAAAAGTATATTAGTCACTGAATCAACTTAATACAGTGTATTTCATAGTTCATTCATTCTTTGCCTGTCTTTAATCAGGATACATCCATATTGACTTCACTATGTCCAATACATTAGTAACGACATATTTCTTTGCCATTTTTTTTTTACAGAATATATCCATATGACCACTGGTTACAGTGGTATTGTCCCTGGAATTTCAGATCCTTCAGTTTTTACGCCACCCTTTATGTGTATGGCTGGTCCCATTTATCCTGCAGTAAGTCGTATTTCAATCTAATTAAAATCAAAAATCCGCGCCATATACACTCTGTGCGGATCTAAGAAGTCCGATTTTAATTAGATTGGTCGTACTTTTAAGAAGAGAAACTTATTAATGTTTCATTAAGTTTGAAAACTCAGTCCTATCAGCTATCCACAGTTTTTTTTTTTTTTCACATCTAAAAGACAACTCTTCAAATAAAGACATTTGTTTATTGTTTATTCAATAATTTAGTTCTTCATATATCACTGTATATTTTTTTATTTTATTTTTCAGGAGGTTTCTATGATGAAAAGAGTTTCATTCCTTCATCCTTTGTAAAATATTTGTTTAGCTTCTGTACAATTTATCAATCATTAAATTTTATATTCTAACAAAATAACTCTTATATCTTATTAAAGAGTTTTATTACCTGAATTATCTTTAAAATGCACAACTTTGAAAAATGTGATATCAATCTCTCAAAAGCATAAATGCATATTATGCAGTATCCATTAACCTTTGAAATAAACATTTGAAAAAAAATGGTTGACTGCCTCTTGCATCAAACTCTATTGACAGTGATCACGAATGCATTTAATGGATGACTTGGGAAATATTTTTGTGATGAAATGACTGAAATGAACACATTTCTTTAACTGAGGAGATTCTTTAGTGACCCTGAGACACAAAGCTAGCTGACAATTCATAATCTAATCATTTAAAAGGTTAAAAAAAAAAACGAACTTCACTACCAGTGCACGTACAATCTACCCCATTTAAAGAGTAAATAATCAATTAAATATTAATTATGAGTCAATCATATTCAAAAATTCAATAAATGAACATAACAATCTAGAATTAACATTGTTTTTTTTGTAAACATTCACATCTAAAATGTATCACCAGTTAAGATCCAGGGTTTTAAAAAAGTGCAATTAAAAAACCCAACATATTGCTATATTCCACTAGGAAATATAATAAGGATAAAACAACATGGATTTTTAAATAAAAGAAAAAAACATACATAAATTAAAACACATATTTCATAAAAAATGTTATTACAGACAACAACTGAACACAGTTTAGGTGGTTTACAATCAATTCCACTGAGCAGTACCAGCACTTTATAATAATGCCTTCAGTACCATGAAAAAAAAT